CCCCAGCCACCACTGTTAGCATAGCCCCGCCTGCTTCCCGATCAGGGCAAAACAAGTGGGTCGACAGTGATTCCAGCCGGCCCGCAAAGGCCGTTACCCAAATAAAGCCCCAGCGCCTGAATTCCTGCAGTTAGGGGATTCCCTAACCTGACTGCCACCCAGTCCTGTGAAAAGGTACCGCTATGTGGCCACAAACCGTAAACCCCTCGGAGGGTTTAACGCCTGATAAGATCCAGCTCCAGCGTCGTGAGAGCCTGAAAACCTGGGTTTCCATCGTGCGTTCGCCCTGACCTTCCACGTGACACGCTGAGCCGAGTCACGAGCCCTAAAAGAACAGGTGGGGCTGTTGTGGGGAGCACTAAATCCACGCGGATGTACACGCGGGTCCTGACTCACCATGGAAGGATTCTCAATAGCAGCCCTGCTGCAGGATATTGGTTGAGAATTTCCCTGTTTATTACCTAAAGCAGATTTGCAGGAGCATATCCCAGAGCTGAGAATTGAAGCTAATCTTTGTGATGGCTCTGCTTTTCAGGGATCTTAGAGAAGCAGGGCTTAAAGGAGAAGGGAAGGGTCTAAGATTGCCTGACTGACTCTTCTCTGAATTGCTTACCTGTGACTTCCCCTGAAGGAAAAGTAACTTGACTTCCTTTCCCATAGCTTCTTCTAATACTGTTGAGATTCAAAATTATAACTTTTTTTCCAGGGATCATTTAAAAAAATTATTTAAATAAGGATATATAAATTATTACTTATATATAAATGATATATAATATAAATTTATAATATATGAATAATAAATTTAATTAATAAATAAAATAAACAAATTTTAAAATGCATATGATATATTTGCCATAAAATATACATAAATTATTATTACTAAGAATGATATTAACTTAAGGGTGCCTAGGTGGCTCAGCCAGTTGAGCATCCTAATTTGCTCAGGTCGGGTGGGTTCGAGCCCCTGTCGGGCTCTGTGCTGAAGAGGCTCGAGTCTGAAGTCTACTTTGATTCTGTGTTCCTCTGCCTCTCTCTCTGCCCCTTCCCCACTCAGGCTCTGTCACTCTCTTTCAGAAATAAATAAAACATTAAAAAAAGCTACTACCTAGGGCCATGTATGGTTCAGAGGTTGTGGTCTTAGCTCTAGGGGAGCACCATGCCTTTACTTAATGACACCTTCTTCAGGTCTGCAGTATACAGTCTATTCAGCTGCACAACAGCCTGGTGTTGGCTATCTTTAAAATTTGTCATCTTTGATGGGTAGAAAAAAGAAAGGAACGCCCAGTCCCTTGTACAGTCCCTCGGTTGCTTAAGGGCCAGATTTTCTGACTTTCACCTGCTAATTGCTGAACTCCACAGACCAGCTCCCACAGGATCAGGATTTATGAGCCAGAGACCATAGGGCCAGATGGTAGAGATCACTCAGGACTGCTCCTCGCTTCACCCCACTGCCTCCACTTCAGTGAGATCCACTCCTTCCAAGTGCTGGAGGGCTACTGGGTCCTCTACGAGATGCCCAACTATCAAGTACCTGCTGAGACCGGGGGACTACAGGCTTACCACTTAATTGGGGCCACGAGTGCCCGAGTGGGCTCTTTGAGGAGAGCCATGGATTTCTACTGAAATATTTTTACTCCACCTTATTCTCCATCTGGAACCTAATAAAATATTTCCTGCGTGTTTGATGCAATCACGTGGTCCTCTTTTCCTTTTAGGCTCAGGAGAAAGAAAGCTGGGAATAATGTAAACTTGCTTATACTTACCAGCGGCAAGGCTGGTATGGGATAGCAGTTAAAAGAGCAGCCTCTGGGACCCAAATGCCTGGTCCAAACCCTTACTAGCTATAGGTGATGGGGCACATTCCTTAGCATTTCTGGGCTTCGGTTTCCCAACTTGTAAAACTTGGGGTAATAACACTCTTCATCTCATAAGGTTGTGATGTGATTCCATGAGTTTTTATTTTAAAGTCACTGACACAGTTGAGCTTTGCATATAGTAGTTTCTAAGAAGCTGCTCTGTAAGCTTGCTGGTGAAACATCTGGCCACCTTCTTGCTAGTCTTTCTTAGTAGAATTCACTTTTGGAGATTGCATTAAGTGGGACAGCTAAGTGAAGTTGCATCTGAGGGAGACAGAGATAGATAAGTTTGTTAAGGTAACTACATCTGACATGTCTTAGGTCTAAAAATATGTGACTCGGCTGAATAGATTTATTATTTATGTATCCAGAGCATAAATATAAGAACAAAGTGTCACCTAAATAAACAGCCCAAAGGACTCTTCCAGATATTTTTCTACTTACGGGAGGTACAGAGCCCTCAGGTATTATGCTCTGCTAAAATGAGCACAGAGTGACAAAGTAAAGGCAGAAGGTACACATGATCAGGAAAATGAAATGTAATCATGCAAAGTTCGTAAACCTATTATTGGCCAGGCTGACATGGCCAATCTTCATTACATCTAATTCATGAGTCAGCATTTGATAATAATAATAATAACAGCACTAAGAAAGAAAAAAAAAGAAACTTATGGACACTATTCATTTAATTAAGTTCAACATTTCTTTGCTGGCAGATGAATTTCCTCAAATGAAATCTAAGTAGGTATTCTATTACAGTACTTCTCAATTTCAGACGTTTACATGTAATTGAGAAAAAAACCAAATTTCTTTCCAATTAGGGGTTTGCCTTAATTGTGAGAATGGCAACCTATTGTTGAAATAGGGTCTTGGTGAGCTGAGCGGCCACAATTATGAAGGAACCATTGAAAATGATTTTCTACTTGGAGAAAAAAAAAAAGAAGGGAATATGTTCAGCTAGGAAATACATTGCTTCTCAAACCTCCAACATTAGAGGAATAACGTAGTCATACTCTTTTTTTTTTTTTAACGTATATTTATTATTAAGAGACAGAGCATGAACAGGGGAGGGGCAGAGAGAGAGGGAGACACAGAATTGGAAGCAGGCTCCAGGCTCTGAGCTGTCAGCACAGAGCCCAATGAGGGGCTGGGACTCACAAACCACAAGATCATGACCTGAGCCGAAGTCGACGCTTAACCAACTGAGCCACCCAGGCGCCCCTGTAGTCATATTCTTTATGCATTTTACTTCCCTAACACACATGCACGCTCCTAGGTGTGTGAAGAAGCATTAAGAGCATTTAGATCTGCACTGCCCAAGGCAACAGCCGTCATCACATGACATTACCGGACCATTGAAATGAGATGAACCCAAGCAAAGTTGTCCTAAGTATAAAACACACACCAGATGTCAAAGGCTTGTACAAAAGGTAGAATGCCAAAGATCTCATTATTTTTCATATGAATTTAAATGAAATTATAGTATTTTTATATATTCACTTAAATGAAATCTATTATTAAGCTAATTTTACCTGTTTCTTTCAATCATTTTCATGAAAATTTGAGATTCCATTTGTGTTTCTCATTCTGTGCCTATTGAGCAGACACCCAGGCTGAAGGATGAGTTGTAATTTGTATTCAGATACAGCTCAGCCTGAATACTGAATTATATAAAACCTGAAAATGAAAAGGTGCCAGAGGTCATGTTTGAGTTTTATATAGTCATCAAACATCCCTTCCATTATGAGGAGGTACTTGGTGAAGTTATCATGGTCACCTGCCACGGACTGAGGCAGTGAGGGAATGGGTCCTTGCCTTGTCTCATCACATGGATTTTCCACTAACTACACTGAACTGAAGTTACAACAACAAATAGGAATGATCCTCCACTCTAGAGGGCAAGCTCCTTCTTTCCTCAGCTAGTTTTTCCCATCCCTTTCCCTGTTCAGTGGTGGCCATTCAATTACAACGTTTTTGTCCTGGAAGCTGACATGATTTTCTCCCCTACCAAATTTAAAACTTCTAGAGCTAGGGATAATATCTCAAGCACATTTATATCTTCTGAAGGATCTAGCAGAGTGTGCCTAATACAAAGCAGGTCCAGTGATGTTGAATGAACACATTCAAAAAAGGAGAAAGTATATGTGAGTCCGTGGTTTCTGAAGATTGGATAAAAGAGTTTAATACGTTCTTTTCTGGAAACAGTACCTTGACCTAAGTGAGGTAAAAGGGGTAAGTCTAAATGCCTTGGGTGGCCAAGAAGGTAATGGGAATGTGAGAAGCTGTTGGTAGATACTAATAGGGTGATGAGGTTTATGACTAACTGGAAAGTACGCGTCCTACTTAACAGCATTATGACTCAACAAGTTTAAAACACTTGGAAAATACGATCCATCTGAACCTAAGGGCTGCTCCTTTGCCACCTCTGCACAGACACAATCTACTCTAAAAAGAATGCTTTAGGCAAAAAAGAGACAGGTTTTCATACAGGACAGTTTTTGGGAACCAGACCTTTAAATCCCACCCAGTCTGGTGGCCATGGGACATCCCTTCACATAGCTCATTTCTCATGTGTTCAACTCATTATCCACAGAGACCAAATAGAACCATGTCCTCCAAGTTAAAAGGAAATTTTTCAGGGCACCTGGGTATCTCGGTTGGTTAAATGTCCAACTCTTGGTTTCGGCTCAGGTCATGATTTCACAGTTTGTGAGATCGAGACCTGAGTCGGGTTCTCCGCTGATAGCTGCTTGGGATTTCTTACTCTCTCCCTCTCTCTCTGTCCCTAGCCAGGTTGCTCTCTCTCTGTCTGTCTCTCAAAAAATAAATAAACATTAAAAAAAATTTAAAGCAAAACTTTCCACTAAGAGCTATAGGCAGACAGGCAGGAAATGGCCACTTACCAGCCTGAAGCTGGGCTACTCCCTCAATGCACTTTCTTACATGGCCTTGTTCAGCCTGCAGTTTACATTCTCACATGATGGTGGTAGAAAACACTTCAGTTATCTTTTCTCTGTGGGCCTTCTGTTTATCTCCACCCTGTTTCATGAAAGAAAACAGAATTGTCATTTCCCCGTTGAGCCCATTAGTAACAGGAAGTGAATTCATGCTGGAGTTTCCAAAGATCTGCCCCATTGTGCCACATTCTCTACCCTCCTGGCCTCTCAGCCTCTGCTGTTCTTCTCCCTGTACGGCATCAAAAAAGAGCCTGCAGCTTTCAGCACCACTGAGGTATAATTTTACATTCTCATTTTTTACTTTCCTCCCAGTATTGCTGAAAATAGTTTGCATCCTTGAGTCACCTTTTCACTTTTGTAAGATGCATATGAGGAGAAGAAAACTGTCTTGTGCCACATATTCACACTAAACTTTTGTCTTGCAGTGGGACATAAAATGGGGAGATGTGCTCAAGGTCAAGGTGGGGAGTTGATCATCTGAACAGAGCGGTCGTGAAAAGTCCTTGATGATTACATCCAGTGCTATAGACTTGGGAGATATCTTCATGGAGATGATGGGCGAACCCATAGAATTGTCTGACATATACAAGAACAGTGTAGGAGAGATGAAGGAGCCCAGATGAGAGAAATTCCTAGTAAGCTGGTGAAAAACAAATTGTTTAAGACAATGAGTTAAAAGAAACCAGTTGGAAATCAAAATTGCCAGTACTGCTTTGCTCAACCGTTTGAAAATTTGTTAAACCAAGGATTAGGTTTCACACTTTTATGCTTTAAAATAACTTTTGTCTGTTCTTCGAGATTTTTTTAGTTTTTTTTTTTAATTTTAATTTCAAATTCATTTTCATTCAATCATGGCTGCCCTGAATTATTTATAAGAGAGACACATTTTAGGTAATATGCAGACCAACAATAAAGTATTGTCTAAGTGATGACTATACATTTATAAATTAAAAACTATGGAGTCATTTAAAAATATTGTATAAAATGGATCTTACAGTCAAAGATAAATCTTTTTTTTTTTTTATTTTTTTTTTCAACATTTACTTATTTTTGGGACAGAGACAGACAGAGCATGAACAGGGGAGGGGCAGAGAGAGAGGGAGACACAGAATCGGAAACAGGCTCCAGGCTCTGAGCCATCAGCTCAGAGCCTGACGCGGGGCTCGAACTCATGGACCGCGAGATCGTGACCTGGCTGAAGTCGGACGCTTAACCGACTGCACCACCCAGGCGCCCCAAAGATAAATCTTTAAAATACAATTCGATATATTACAATTACGTGTGTTTTCACACAAATGTGTATAGAAATTGATCTGAAATTATATATGCATATATGTGTGTATAGAAGGAAATCTGACCAAAATATACCATATGATATTAAAGTGGTTGTCTCCATATAGATGAGATTACGTATGTCTTATTTTGTCAGTTTACTTGTATATATTTTCTGATTCTTCTCTTAAATTATTCATTGTTTGTACAAAAAATGAAGCAAATCAAATAAACTGAAGGAGAGAAACAATCAAACTCTAAAAGAAAAAAAAAAGATTTTTAATACATCTCTTAACTTTTCAAACACTGTTGACATTGTTATAGATTTTATAAAAAGCATGAAAAATCACTGTCTAAAATATATTTATCTTTGACTTTATCCTGGCCAGATCAGTACCTTAGCCATTTCTGAACAGGATCACTCGCTAGTACTTAGGGGAAGAACCAGATTTTATAGAAGTTGTAATGATGAGAAAAACAGCAATCTGCTAAAAAGGTAAAAGTGGAACGTAAGAAAGAGGAGTGGAACCTCCTGGAAGCCACTGTCACTGATGCTGGAATGTCCCTCTATCTATTTCCATTTCCCTCTATTTATTCACTCTAGTTTTCCAACTACTGGGAAAATAATCAGATAAGATGGAGTCCAGTTTGACAGTCCCTGAAATTGGAATCTAGTCTGGGAGGAAGCATAATTAAACAAGAGGGACCTAGATGCTTCTAACTTATCAGTGGTCCTGACACATCTATAAGATTTTGAATAAGTTCTTGTTCCAAATATGGGATGACAGCGAAATCCTGTATTTCAGTTATAGAGGAGTTCAAAGAGAGATTTTTTTTTCCCCTTCAAAATGCAGGCTCTGATATTTTGCAGAAATAGTTGAAAATGTTTGTCAAATAGCTGGATGAGAATAGCTATATGTGGAATATAATGTGAAAAATAAAACCCAGAGAACCTAACTATTCATTAACATGCCCAGCCAAAAGCCTGGACATTGCATACTGTTCTATTTGAATAAATGTTGATAGATCAAAGGCAAAGAAAACGCCATATCAAAAAGGGGCATTTTTTTTTTTTTCAAATTATATGCTGGTCTTCAAAACTCGATTCAAGTACGTTTTTGACAAGATGAGGGCAACGGAAAGTTTCTGTTTGTTCTGCAATGCAATTATTTTCACCCAGCCACATTTGTAGCAATAAAGAAAGATGCTATCAGGCTGACTGACTGAAGGAATTCTCCGCAGTGGAGGAAACTAGAGTTTTGATAAAAGACTCTGAGTAACAAAGTGATAAACTGTACACAGCCCCGAAAAGGTAAAGAGTTACTTTAGTAAGAGTTACGTGTACTGATTAGTCTCATGAAGAACCTTTACTCTAGCCAGGAGAGAAGCTCAGGGTCATACTTACTAATTAAATGGAAAGAGAAAAACTGAAAACTTTGATTCATAACAAATACACATTGATAGTAGTTCAGCCTTACAAGTAGTGTGCATTTCACCCAAGAGGACCACGCACAATACATAGCTATTGGTTATGTTCACTCACAAGCTTATGCCAGATGTGAGCCAAATCAAACCTGCTATCAGATCACAGAGGGAAATAAGAGAATGCAGAAAAAAGTATGTCTGTCTGCAGGATTCAGAGTTTGTTTTCTATTTTGTTGTCCACATATCTCCTTTGTGAAAATGTAGGCAGTGGAGCACTTTGGAAACTAATTTCCAAGAGAGTCTCAGGCTACATGCCCACCACCTTCGGAACACACATTATCGGAGGACAAGACATCACATATTCCTCAATTTATATAAAAATGTGTGCTTTGCCCATGTTCTTGTCTTTAATCGTGCCCTTGTGCCTTGTATTTTTTTAAATGGCACTCCTAATTACTAATAGCTTAGCTCCAGTAAGAACACGTCCACGTTAGTCTAACGGGTTTTAGTGCAAGTTGTTTCATGGCATAGTGAATTGGGGATGGTCTTGGAGTCAAAGCATTGGCATTGGCTTCTTGCTCTTCCAGGCACAGACGTGTGCCTTTGGGCATACTATCAAACCTTTAAAAGTCTTGATTATTTTGTCTGTCAAGTAGAGAGAGTGAACTATTGCATTGTATTTGCCTTGCATAGGGCCAAGTGAGACTGGATGTTCAATGATTGTGCTTGTCTTTTCCTTTCCTCACCAAAACTGATGGCTCTATTTGCCTGGTAATTCATGGTGGAACACTTTGCTTTGTTGAAGATAGTAGGAAAAGCATGAATTTCAGTCAAATGGAGGTATAAAGAAAAATGAAAATACTACCTATCTGACACGTAATAAATGCCAGTTTGATTTTCTTTCTTTTCTTATATTAAAGGGACTGTATTTGAGATTAAAGTTGACAATATTAGATTTACAAATTATACCAATCTAATCTTTCCGCTATTGGATTGGTTTTATCCAGTGAGTTGCCATCACTAAACAACAAAACAATAGAGCAATAAGTTAGAACAGAAAATCTTGGTTCCCTGACTTCCAATGTCTCTGTTACATATTGACGAGATTACACTTAATGCCTTCCAATGCTTCCTCTGTCTCTGTCCCTCCCCTGCTTGTGCTCTCTCTCCCTCTCTCCCTCTCAAAATAAATAAATAAACCTTAAAAAAATTTAAAAAACATTATACTCAATGACTTCCTACACTAACTCCATTAGTAAATTAGGTCAGTCTATAAAATATTCACAGGACAATCAGGGTTTATCATCCTTTTGTAAGGTTTTCCTATTCTGAAACTGTTTTTCCTTTGAAACTCATCAATGGAGAAAGGGAGTGTCCCAGGAACAGGACGGTGAACTTCTGAACTGAAATCTGCTCTGAATTGAGAAATAATAAATAAAGAAGTAAGTAAGTAAATAGATAAATAAATAATTTTGTCTTCTTTGCTTCAGGATGTATTATGTTAGATCTCTCGTTTGCAGGGAATGGGTTCCCTCTCACACCCAGTGGATGCCCAAAAGTGGATAGCACCAAACCCTATATATATTATGTGTTTTTCCTATACTTATACACCTATGTTAAAGTTTAATTTATAAATTAGGCACAGAAGAGATTAAAATAATAACTAAAATAATATAGAGCAATCATAACTATGTACTGTAATAAAACTTACATGAATGTGGTCTTTCTCTCTCTCAAAATATCTTATTGTGCTGCGCTCACCCTTCTTCTTGGGTCGATGTGAGACAATACAATGCCAATGTGGTGAGATGAAGTGAGGGGAATGATGTAGGCATGGCACGGATCATCAGGCTACTATTGACCTTCTGACATATTGTCAGATCATCTGCTTCTAAACTGTAGTTGACCTTGGGTAACTGAGGCCCTGGATAAAGGGAGACTACTGTATTTCCAGTCGGTGCATGGTGATATGAAACAAGTGCTCGTGTGAACTGGAAGCTTCATTTTTAAGAACCAGAAAATAAACTGGATAAGAGAATGCTTGTCCAGAATGGGCATCAGTGCTGACTGAATGCGGAGAAATGAGATTTACTCAGAGGTTTTTGGTATTCAAAAAAAAAAAAAAAAAAAAAAAAAAAAAAAAAAATCACTCAGTGTTCTCAGGATTCTCAAATTCTGTCCCAGTGTCCCTTGTCAGGAATCATCAGAATTAAGAAAAAGAAGTGACAAGATGAGGGTCTGCCCCTTCTTTCATCTGATTCATTTATTTATCCTCATTTTATCATAGTGTTCCAAAAGGTGAAAGATGGTCACTCGTGAGAACAAGGTTTTGATATTATAGGCTCAGTAATGATACTGCTGATAATGATTATGGTACAAAAATAATAATTCAAATGATTATATTGTTACTAACTTTAAGGACCATAATGCACATGCAGTTAATGGATTCAACTCTTATTTCCATTTCATCTCTCCTTTCCCTCCTGGATGATGCATCACAGTACTGTTTCCACCAGACCCAAGCTCAAAATTGAAATCGGGTAAGTGGTGGTTCCTTTGAATATTTTCTGAAATTGAAATCTAATTACTTCTAGAGTGCTACTTCTGAGTTACCATGTTTTACCCGGGCAAGGTTTTATTCACATTATCAGTCAAATGTTAAAAGGAGAAAACAACATTACCACGGGGATAATTTTTCCTTGTATTTCCTGTCAGTCACTCTCTCTTCTTCTCTGAGTTTCCTGACCGTGTGGTGTGGATGTGGACCAACCACTGTTGACTGCATATCTACCATCTATTCTTCCTTCTCTTGGAAAATCCAAATTGTGCTCAAGTGTTCAGCCTTCTCCATGTTCTCTGTGATTCTCAGGGGAGGCAACCCCAGCCCCAGCTCAGAAGTGGTTACGAATTCTAAACCAATTGTGTTAATCCTGCCTGCCCATCCAATTAAGGAATTCAGCTTTAAGCCAGACAGATCAAGACATTCTCCTGATGACTGATATCAGATGAGAGTTGACATATGACCTAACCTGGCTTCCCCATACTAAAGAAAAGCCAGTTGTTACATGTTGGAGTCAAAGCTTTCTCTTTGTCCTGCTGGGTTACTTTACCTATCTGGAAACGTCATGGGTAGGTTTGCAGTACTTAAAAAAGTCCAGAAACAACCTCATTTTAGTAAAGCCAATTCATGGGGGAAGGCAGAGCCAAGGAAATTGCAGAGAAGCCAGAATCCCATTGTGACCATGCTTGGAGACTGTCCTCTCTTTAAACTTCCTATTATGTGAAATACTAAATATCTTTATAGTTTAAGCTAATTTGAGATGGACTTTCCATTACAAGTAGCCCAAAGCATCGTAACGGAGGCAGGGAAGAACTCACTGTACCTGGAGCTCCTGAGAAGGCCCTCCTGGACTTAATCCGATTACATTTTTCCAAACTCCACACTTGGTGGCTGAGATTTGGGCACATGACCAGGTCTGTCCCATCAGGGTGGAAGAGCTTCAGATCTGCAAATGGAAAATTTGGAGGAACTGAACTTTCTTTTGATTCCCCAGTGGATAAGAATGAGACCGGATATGGCTCTGGTATCTACACTAAACCAGTGAGCTTCCTCTTCCCTTATGCCATTTTAGATTGAATTTTCTGTGCCTTACAACTGAAAGCATCCTACATGAGAGTTAAGCCTCTAAAAAAACACCAGTGTGGGTATATTTGTATTGGAGTTTTCATTTTTTTGTGCATGATCTACATTCGACGACTGCAATTATTTTTCAAAAGGATTTGCAGGTTTGAAAGGGCCAGAAACCCACTCATTTAACGTTTATTTTTGAGACAGAGAGACATAGAGCATGAATGGGGGAGGGTCAGAGAGAGAGGGAGACACAGAATCTGAAACAGGCTTCAGGCTCTGAGCTGTCAGCACAGAGCCCGATGCAGGGCTCGAACTGAGAAATCGTGACCTGAGCTGAAGTCGGACACTTAGCCGACTGAGCCACCCAGGCGCCCCCAGAAACCTACTCATTAAAAAATAAGAAAAATAAATCTTCAACTGGGAAATTAAGCCAATGTGAAGACAACATATCTTTTCCTTTAAAAAGTTGATAGTCGGTGGAGAACCTGTATTAGAGTTCCTCCCTTTATGCAATTCACGCACAGAGAATGGCAGATTGGTCAGCTGCTGTTTTCCAAGAGGCCATGAGACAAGCTGCAGAACAAAAGAGATCATCTTCATTAAAACTGCCGTGGTGTGTTTTCACTTGTCTCAGGCCAGGCACAAACGCTCCATGTTCCACGTTAGGAAAATAACGAAAGTTGATGCCTACACCACTTTTACCTGCATAATAACACAACTCGTACTTTAAACACATAGTTAAACACTAACGTTAGTGCCAGAGTTTTCAATGTGGTCCTGCTGAGAAGTTATTCACATTGCTATGGCTCAGGAAAATTTGGGGGCTTATTCTTGTTTTGAAACCCTGCTATAGCATTCGACATATTCTTTCGACAATTGTCCGTGACAGCAAATCTCCTATTAAGTGTGGAAGCAGCTTGTGCATCAGCACCAGTGATGTAGCAGGACGAATTAGGTGAGGGATTCAACCAGCAAGGCAGCTTTTGATCAAAACAATGAAGTGAGGTTATGAAAAACCTAGGCACGCAAGCAAGTGCAGAATATTTTTGCCTCTGATTTCAGCGGGACCATGAAAAATACCTGCTACCATCTTCAGAAAAACAGAAAAATGTTCAACGAGTCAACCAAAATTTTCCTAGAATACTAGTCTACTATGAGAATGTATTCCCCCGGTGAGAAGAGCATTTTCCTCTTTTAGAATGTTCTCTGAGCATGCAAACATCTCTGGGTGGGACAGATGGAGGAAAAGCTGCTGATCTAATACTTAATCAAAAATAATACGCATATGGTGGGGTAGGGGCCCCTGGGTGGCTCAGTCGGCTAAGCATCAAACTCCTGGTTTTGGTTTCAGTCATGATCTGATGGCTTCATGGGTTCGAGCTCCACATCAGGCTCTGCACTGGCAGTGTGGAATCTGCTTAGGATTCTCTCTCTCCCTCTCCCTGCCCCTACCCCACTCACACTGTCTCTGTCTCTCTCAAAATAAATAAACTTAAAAAAAAAAAAAACAACATGGTGGGGAAAGTGGGAACTGGAAGAGATAGTGTTAAATCCATGGTTATTGAAAGGGGCAGAGAGGATGTTGACTTGAAACAACAATCTGTATCTCCCGTGAAGTCCTGCCTAGGCCTTACCTACGGGATAGGGAAAGAATGGGTACTGTGTGATGTTCCCATATCACAAAAGGCCCCGGCAGGTATTGGGGAAGAGATACTGCCCCAGGTCCTATGAATGATAGAATTTATTGCATCTCACTTTCAGTAATTCAAAAGCTTCACCCACCCATTACCTTCTCACACTCTGAAAGACTTTATGACTTCTTTGTGTTGGTGAAGACAGTTGGACCTCGATGATTTCACACACCCCAGGTAGCTTTAGACTTCATTCTCAGGGACACTGCTCACTTTCCATGGCATGAAGAGAACAAAAAGTGACTTTTAATAGATAAAGAACTGTAAGTACCTTTTTCATTTCTCCCAGTATTTTTATTTCAAAGTTTTGCCATGTCTGTTTCTGAAAGGAATGGAGATGACTTAGAGATTAAAATGGACAGGGAAACAAACCATTTACATCTAAAACAAACCAGATCCCATTTCAAGCTAACAAAATGCACTTTAGTTGAGTAGACCTAAAGCACTTTGCGACAGTGAAGTAACTATCTCCAAGTTCTCTGGCATCTACTGCAAATAGGGGAAGCATAATGGTCTGCATAGCTTTTATTTTCTGGCAATTTCAAGTGGGTCCATTCATCTCTAGATATAAATTTTTGCTTAGACTGAAACCTCAGGTTATATTTACCATGGGGACCTTTGTTTATAAACGGAGGGGAGGGACTTTGTGCTGGAAAATGTACAGCCAGGAGAAGGTGGCTTGATGGGAACAAGGGGATGGTTTCCTTCATCAAATAAAACCAACTCTGCTGAGAGTTACAGGACATGTAAACTTGGAAAAACATAGAGTAGCTACTACAATTCAATAATAAAAAGATAAATAACTGAAATAAAATAGGTAAAAGGATCTGAATAGATATTTCTCCAAAGAAGATATGAAAAGATATTCAACACTAGTAGCCATCAGGGAAATGCAAAACCAAACCCCCACGAAATAACACTTCATACTCACTTGGGTGGCTCTAAAACAAACAAACAAACAAACAAAGAAACAAACAAACAAAAAACGTAAGTGTTAGAGAGGACGTGGAGAAATTGGAACCCTCATACACTGCTGGTAGGAGCATAAATGGTACAGCCGCTCTGGAAAACAGTCTGGAAGTTTCTCAAATAGTTAAATGTTATATATTTACCCAAGAGAAATGAAAGCATATGTTCATATACAAACTTGTTTATAGCAGCATTATTCATAACAGCCTAAGATGGAAACAACACAAATGTCCACCAACTGATCAACAGACAGGCAGAATGTGATATATTCATACAGTGGAATATTATTCAACAATAAAAAGAAGTAAAGTACATGCCACAACATGGGTCAGCCTCGAAAGCATAATGCTGAGCAAAGAAGCCAGTCATAGGAATTGCATACTGTACGGTTCCATTAATAGAAAATTTCCAGAATAGACAAAGCTACAAAGATAGGAAGTAAGTTGGTGGTTGCCTAGGGATAGGGTGAATGATTGGGTTGAATGTGAATTATATCTTAAAACATTTCAAAAACATAGAGGACGGCTTCAGGGTGTTGGGCTCACAATGTCACAGACAAAATAATCTTAGAATTTTTAAGCCTTTTTTTTTCTCTTGTTAAATTTCTTGCTCTACAATAAAATTTTATATTTGATGCTTTAACCAGGAAGTTGATGAAAAGATAATTTTTCTGAACAAAAGGATGTGCAGGACGTATAAGTGGTTTCCACAAAGTCCTATGCAATCAGTAACAGATGTGCAAACAGAAGCCTGGTTTTCTGACTTCAACCTAGGACTTGGTCTCTTAGCAACACAGCCCTTCAAATTGCTGGTTTCAAATACTCAAGCCCAGAAAATGGAATTGTATTAAACAGCAAGGAAATATGGTCACAGGGACGCGACTTCTATTTTATTCATTATTTAAGCTTATTTTATTAAAATTAATTGCCTATTTTATTCGATGAAAATAAAAATGTACAGATTTTGACCCCAGACCTTTAGAAAATACAGTACAAACAAGTCGGAGTTAATTCAAGCCAAAGTTAAAAGGAATCATTTCTCACCTCCAATTGTGATTTTTGAAAAGAGTGTCTCATTCTTCCTTGAAAGAGTGGTTTCTTAGAGAGAAGGTGCAATCCGTGGTTGAGGTCAATTTTTTCTCCTCTCACTCACTGATCTTCGAATTGTATTTAGTGCTCAGTGTATTAGTGAGATGAAAAATACTGGTGAAAACTAGGAGTATAGAAAGAACAGAGTGTTCTAAGACAGAGTAGGAGGGGCTGAAAGTTAAAGAGGTCTTTTTGGCGACCCATTGAAACTCTTGTTTCAGTTGGCTCTGTCCTATTTAATAGCTCAAATCAAATGAATTCTTTTTTTTTTTTAAGTTTTTTTTTTTTTCAACGTTTATTTATTTTTTGGGACAGAGAGAGACAGAGCATGAACGGGGGAGGGACAGAGAGAGAGGGAGACACAGAATCGGAAACAGGCTCCAGGCTCTGAGCCATCAGCCCAGAGCCCGACGCGGGGCTCGAACTCACGGACCGCGAGATCGTGACCTGGCTGAAGTCGGACACTCAACCGACTGTGCCACCCAGGCGCCCCTCAAATCAAATGAATTCTTAATGCCATCTATGCCCTGCAGATGAAATGGAAAACTGTCTGCTTGAAAGGAATGCAGAAACACAAGCAGTTTCCTAAAAGTTCCCTGTGTTTGGTGTGCTGTACCATTAACTTCTTATTTTTCTTGTTCCTGTTAACATTTCTGTCATTTTACCTTCCCTTAAAGGCTTGGAGCTGTTTTAGACTTTTGGTCTCTCTGGTATCTACATGAGTTTCCTCTACAGAATAGGGACTCACAAATGTCTTAGTTGAAGGTGCTGATCTTCGTTTTGGTGACCATTTTTTATTTTCCTGCTTTCATGTTGTCGGCACGTAAAAATCCCACCTTTTCCAGACCCACATCTTTGTCTTCCTTATGCCTCTTCACCAAATGAATTACATTTCTAGGAATGAGGACGCACGTCCAGTCTGGGACCATGGTTAAGGTTTCATTAAAATCAACCTAAGAGAAGTACAGAGGTCGCCCTGTGGTTGTAGAGCTGGAATGCTCTGACTGATGACAGGTAACCAATAGGAGGGGCAGTCACTAAGGTTTCAGAAGAAATGCTGCACTTCAAATTCTATTTGCTTACATGTTGTTTCAATTGGTTATGTCTTTGTTGGATGCTCACTTCACGGTTTGGCTGATCGACAATGTCAAATAGTGTTGGCCTCTGGCGACTGGAATGAAAAGGAAGCTATATGCAGCCTCTTCCCAACCCCAAATCTCTACCATTTGGTAAGGAGGTAAAATTTGGCTAAACATAAATATCGATTAGCAAGCAAAGAGAAGAAGGGCCAATAACTGAGCCAGAGTAGAAATCAAGGCATGCCATTGGCAGGCAGTAAAGCCTCTCCCAGTTCCTATCTTTGGACAAAATTAGCATCTTGTGGTGAAATAGTTGGCTATATGTACCTCTGTTCTTGAATCACCTTTTCAAAAAACTTGATTCTTGTCTTTCTTGCTTTCATGGTGTCTGTGCTTTTTAGGTATTTACAGTTTCACTTCAGTTTTGGAAGTAGAGTATAAAAAGTGTAAAAACAGGTATTATGTGAGGTCCCATACAGTGACAAATTGCTTTAAAAAACTTTAAAAAAACTTTTTAAAAAACTCTTTAAAAAACTGCTACGCCCGTTTAAACCTCACCTAGATGCTCTAATCAATGTTTTGAGTTATTTTCACTTGTTACTACTAACTTAAATATCCTTCACCTGCCAGGCTGCCAAACTGTGTCACTTCCCCCTTCAAAACCTGGTTTTGAATTCATATCCCTTATCTTTTCAGTTACTCAAAATTAAAAAGAAAACATTTGGGTTATGCTTGACTCCTCTTCCTTACTATTCCAATGTAACCCACCTGTCAGCTTTTTCTTCAGTGCATCTCCGTAACCCTATCCCTTCTCCTTAGGTCCGCGACTTGCACGCTGGACTAAGTGCGCCATCATCTGTTGCCTGGGTTTACGACAATAAATAGTCTCGTGGAAGGCCCTCGGCATCTCCTTTTCTTCCACGGTCTACTTTCAACAAAGGAGCCGGTATGATCCTTTTATAACAAGTTATGTTATGTTACTTTTCTGCTAAAACTCTGGCACCGTGTTTCCATCAATTAAAGTAAAAGCTGAAGTCTTTCTTTTAGCCTAAAAGTCGCTATGATCTGACAGTTATCTCACTGGCTTCCTTCCCTGTTATTCTTCTGTTTGTTATTTTACTTTGAAACACTTAGATGGAGCAAGCCAGCAGGCTCTCACCTTAGAGGTTTTTCTTTAGTTATACCCTCTGCCTGATGTGTTCTTCTCCAGATACCTTCCTGACTAGCAATTTCCTAACCTTCAAGTTTGCTCAAAGGGCTCTTGTGGATCATCCCATTCCATACTACAAACCTTCCAATTCACTGCCTGCTCCAGTGTGACTAGTCAGCATTACTCTACTTTTCCTTTTGATGACCCATAGAAACTGCCTCCCTTGAACATATTCTAAATTAGTTTTTACTGTAGTCTGTCTCCATCCACTAGAGTTAAGCTCCACAGGGACATAAACTTTTGCTGTGTTACTTGATGATTTCCTTGTCCACTGAACTGCACTTGGCACATGATAATTTACTCAACAAATGTATCTCTTTATGTTAAGACAGTGAGTCACTGAAACGGAGATTTGAGTTGCGATGGCTCATTTTAGTCCATTTTGTTGGAATATGTGTTTGTCATGGAACCACACAGAGACTAGGATGTTGGGTAGTTGACATGTTTATCATCCCCAGTATCTCAGCTTAAACGGAATGTCTAATAGAGGTTCACTTATGAACCACTGGGTTTTTAAATAAAAATATCTAACTCATGACAACCGTTTGTCATTCACTTTACCAAATCCTGATGCAAAACAAGAGCGATGGATAAGTCAGCTCCATGATTCATCTGTATTTTTTCCTTATCTGCTGATCTGTCTCTTTCACTCTTTGATCTCTTCCTATTCCATAAATCATTTCTTTTTTTGCAGTTCCCTGATTTCTTTCCTTTCTTTTCCCTCTAATTCAAACTTCAATAAAAATAATAAATATATAGCAAATGAGATAAATGTATCAGTGAAACAAATCAAAACAAAAAAGCTTTGATGCCATGGCTTAGATTTTATATGAAATATTGTTTTATGTTACCCTTTTTTTGTATATATCCATAATGTAGGGATTTTTGATATCTCCATCAGTACATTGTTGGTTTTATGTTTGTGTGCATATACGTGTGTGTGTTGGTAGGTGACATTTCATTTTCATACATATGTAATATATATATGGGTTTTTTTTTTTTTTTGAGAGAGAGAGAGCGTGAGCAGGGAAGAGGGGCAAGAGGTAGAGAGAGAGAAAATCTTAAGCAGTTTCCATGCTTAGCGAGGAGCCCAACACAGGCCTTGATCCCACTACCCTGGGACATGACCTGAGCCGAAATCAGGAGTCAGATACTTAACCAACTGAGCCACCCAGGTCCCTCTATACATATATGTATATATTTTTAATTCCAGTATCATCTGTTATAGAAACTGGGAAAAATAAGGGAAAATATAAATAAGAAATTATGGTCACAAAAATCGCACCACTGAGAGGCAATCACTGGTTACATTATATTAGAGATCATCACTATTTACATATCTGTGTCTTAAAAATATGTTAGCTATTTCCTCCTTAATTAAAAAAAAACCAAAATTGTAGTTTTAACTAGAGCTGGGTATTATCTTTGGGGATTTTATACATTTGGCATTCATTATATATGCGTTATATAAAATGGTATCATTACCATCAAACAATATAGAAAAGAGCAAAGGAAACAGTTTCAAATCCATTAAGAGTAATAATTTTTACATCACTAGAGCTTTTTTCAAACAAGTGTCTATACTGGAAATAGGATAAAGAGAAGTAAGTTTTTTTTTTTTTACTTTAAATCATTTTCCCATTCTATTTTTGTTAAAAAGGAAGAAAGAAAATGTACTTGAATTTATCAAAAGAAAATTGAAATGGATATATGAAATTATTTTCACAGCAAGATATTTTAGGAACTAAAGTATCTAAGTTGAGTTTTTTTTTAAAGTGGCCTGTACTAACATATTTCAACTTCCCATGTTAACTATTGAACTCCTACTATAAAACACTAAGGCAATTACTGTACTTACAATTTCTTCCATATCCCATTTTCTATAATTTCATGATTTTTATATTTCCAAAAAACTTAATATGGAGGTAGAGTCAGTATTCCATCCATCCTTTACTGTAGTTTCTCCATAACTGACATGGTAGGCGGGAAAATGGCTCCCAGAGATATCCACCCTATAATCCCCAGGACCTGTGAATACACTACCTTACGTTGCGGAAAAGACATCGTAAATATGATTAAGTTAAGGACCCTGAGATGGGAGATGATCCAGGATTATCTGGGGTGGGTCCAATATCATCACAACACAATGTTTAATATAAAGAATCCTTAGAAGTAATGGGCGGGGGGTGGGGCAGGCACGTGAGAGTCAGAAAGAGATTTGAAAATGCTGTTCTGCTGGATTTGAAGAGAGAAAATGGCTATGAGCCAAGGAGAGTAGGCAACTACTAGTCTCTGGAAAAGGCAAGGAAACTGATTTTTTTCTAGAGTCTCTAGAAGTTTCACCCACTCTTGATTTTAGCCCAGGAAGGCTCATTTTGGACTTCTGACCCACAGAACTGGAAGATAAGAAACTTGTGCTGTTTTAAATTTACAAAGTTGGTGTTATTTATTATAGCAGCAATAGGAAACAAATATACCTGAGTTTTTTGTTCTGATTTGTGTCTTTAATATTTGGGTTTGGTCCAATAGGTTTTCATGAGTGTTCAAGATGCTGTATTCCCTGAGTTCTTAAATGTTTGAGAATATACACCTCTTGTGTTTATGTCAAAAACATACCAGCGTATCTTGCTACTCAGATCCTTCTTTTTTTTTTTTTTTTTTTAATTTTTGGGACAGAGAGAGACAGAGCATGAGCAGAGGGGAGGGGCAGAGAGGGAGACACAGAATTCGACAGGCTCCAGGCTCCGACCAGCCATCAGCCCAGAGCCTCAGACAGGCTTGGCTCGAACTCACGGACCGCGAGATCGTGACCTGGCTGAAGTCGGACGCTTAACCGACTGCGCCACCCAGGCGCCCCTCCTTCTTTTTTTTTAATATTTACTTATTTTTGAGGGAGAGAATATGAGTATGGGAGGGGCAGAGAGAGAGAGAGAGAGGAGGACAGAGGATGTGAAGCGGGCCCTGTGCTGACAGCAGTGAGCACTATGTGAGGCTCAAAGTCACAAACTGTGAGATCATGACATGAGATGAAGTTGGATGCTCCCTGTACTTAGATCTTTTTGTAAACATCACTCCACTCTCTTCTCATATTATGATTATTCCTAGAGAAGTTTTTTTCTCCTTTCTTCAAGACTAAGTTTTCCTGCCTTGATATTCTAAGATTCTTGAATTGTTGTAAACTTTACAAGTCTGCCTCTTGGTATTGATTATTTTCTGTCTATATTTTCACTCTGGAAAGTTTTTTGATCTACAGAGTGCATGTTTATTTTGGGGAAAGGTTTCTCCCATATATCCTTGGTTTGTAATTCTACATGCTTCTATCTTAGGAAAACTCAGGTTAATGCTGAACTTTCTTTATCTTTTACATACATAATCTTTATAATTTATATTTTGCATATGTTCTTTACCTTACTGAGTTTTGAAATTTCTTCAATCCTGAATACTATCACCCTGACTACAATTTCACTCTAAAGTACTTCTTCCTGTGGCTTCTAATATGACTTTGCCTCTGGAGTGTTTTTGCTTTACATCCTTTCCTCCTCACTGTCATCTAGTTTGTTTTTCTTCTTTTTTTTTTTTTTTTGTCTTCTAATCTTTCCTTTAAACCTCACTGTGCCTTTGTGGAGATTTTTCTAGATAATATTTCACTTGGGACTGACTATGGAGAATTATTTACCAGATGTCTTCCTCTTCTTCATTTAGTGAGTCTCTTGCAATTCATTATTTTCACTTGCCTTTTGCTCAAGTTTCTTCAGAGATGTTTTCATTGATTCCACACATTTCTTTATACTATTGATTTTCTTTGAATGGGGAGACCTTGTGAGATGTGAGCTTAGGCAGTGGCAGGTTTTGTTTGGTTTTTGATTTTTAAGAGACCCTCTTTCACTGGAGGAACATGCTTCCTTTCAGTTTTCAACATTCTTACAGGGAATCAACTACTTGACATCTAAGGATGTCTAATCTAAATCTTGAAGTTAACAGCTTACAAATTGAGCAGTCTTTGCCTGCCAATTAACAACAACATTATTCTTCTGGTTTTTAAGTCAAAAACCTTGGGTCGTCCATGATGCTTCTATTTCTCTTTCTCCCTCCAATCCAACCCACAGAAAATCCTTACATTCAAAATATATCCAGGATCCATTCACTTCATGTCTTGCTGTAGACTTCTCTCTGATCTCACCACTTGGAACTAGCAACCTTAATGTCTTTTCTGCAGACAGCCACAGAGCACTACAGGTAAGTAGGTTAGATCATGGTAATCCTTGACTCAAAACTCTCCAGTGTTGTCTGTGTCACGCAGAATAAAAGCCAAAGTCCTCTTGTGATCTAATTTCCCTCTTGATCTGGGCCCAGTCTTATCACTGATTCCCTACAACTCTCTTGCTCATTCTACTCCAACCACTGGCTTCCTCTCTGCTGTTCTAGAATACTAGGTAAGTTTGTACCCCATTCCTTGGCTTGCTGTTCCTTTGTCTAGAGTGCCTTCCCCAGGTCTCCACGTGATTTGCTACCTTTCCTATTTCAGGCTTGCCCAACTGCCATTTTCTCAAGTAGAACACCCGTGGACACTCTTAACTGAAATTTCAAACTTTCCTCCTGCCCCCCCCCAATCTTACTATCTATTTTCCTACTTTATTTTACCCTATAGCATTTATCATAACCTAAAATATCATATATTTGTTGAATCGCTATATTTTCCCCATGAAACTAATATAACAGTATGCTAACTAAATGAAATTAAAATTTTAAACAAGAAAAAAGAGAGAGAAAATGCCATATATTTTTCACACTAATCTTGTGTGTTGCCAGTTTCCCCTGTAGAATATAAGGTTCATGTCATAGGGCTGGTCTAGGGTGAGGTAAAGAGATGCTCAGGGTCATGCTAGTGCAGGCACCCCAGCCCCAGCCTTGCTTTCTTAAAGGCAGAGATTTTTATCCATTTGTTGGTGGACACCTCCAATATGCCCACAGTAGTACCTGGCATCTAGCAAATGTTGGACAAATGTTTACTGGTTGAAAATCTCTCATATACTTAATAATTTCAGAAAACCCAACATATCCCAAATAGTATCTGCTGGTCAGTATTGGAGCTTAATAACAAGTTCACCTCCAGTGACCTATTTTAATTCCATTAAGTAGTTTCACATTAACAAGGTATAAAACGCTTGATAGAATATTCAACCTCACCCATATAGGCATATTTTCACACCTGATTCAGAGATGGGGTTAGTGAGAAATAGTTCTTTATCCATGGGTAGGTATTTAAAATCCTCTCCCACATGCCAGAGGTTATAAAATGCACACCTGTATTGTGCACATGTACATTTATTTGCATATTATACTTGCCTTAACATGCAAAATAAAATACATTGGCCTTAAAATACTTTGTATTTTAAACAGCTACTCTTGTTTTGATTCGTTTTGGTTAGTTAGTTCCCTGCTATTGAGATCTACAGTCTGAGGATCATCTTATATTCCTTTAGTTTTTTCACCTCATTGCTTTGCAATTTATGTGAGAACAGAGTGGGGCAGAAGGAGAGAGCACAGCATTTATGGCAAGGTTACCATGCTATAAGTGCCCTAATCCTACGCTGAGAACATTCGGCGACATTTATCGACCAGTTGAGTCAAGAAAATTCCATTAGAGCTGGATGGTAGAGAAAATTTCTAGGGGTAAAACTTAGGTTATGCCTAGTATTCTAGCTGCAAAAAAGGCAGGCATCCATTATAGTTGAAATTCAAATTTATAACATGTGGATTATAAAACAGGCTAAAATACTGAATTCTAATATCACAAAGAGTTATTTTCTAAAACAGTTTTCTGGGATTCAACATCAGGTGACTTTTCTTTCTTTTTTTCTTTCTTTATTTCTTTTTTTTTCTTTTTTTTTTTTTTTAGCTTTTAATTAAACCTTAATTTGGTCATGACATTTTGAGAGATTTAGATAATTTTCAACCTTCCCACAGTGATTCGTCATTCTCCCCTTTTGACAGTGAGTTCTTCCCACACAGAGAATTTCAGCTGAACAAATATAATTAGTAGCAATATTGCATTCAATTCCATGTTTAAACACATGTACAAGAATTATTAATGACTTTGAAATAATTAAAGAAGTGGAAAGAAATTACTTTTCATTACGAAGCAGAGAACATCAAAACATTTCAGTCCAGTCTCTGGGAAAAGTGAAACAAGGAGAAAATGAGGGGAAGGAAGGAGAGTGGGGAAGAGGCAAAAAGAGAAAACTCATTCAGAGTTTTTAACCCTTGTGTAGAAATGTCTGTTGTGGGGATCCCATTTTCACTCTTTTCCCTTTTCCAACCTCATTCCTTTCAAGCATGTTTCGAACACTTTAGAAAGGGAAAAGCGTTTGTCACCCACCTATTGTCCAATCTATTTTTAAGTCTTTCTAGGTCAAGGAAGTGAGAACAAAATACAGAAATTTCTGATACTCTGAGCATTCTTCAAAGAACCATTCCTCCAGCTATCCGGTTTTCAGCTACTCCCGAGTTACAGGCATGGTATGGTAATATGTGCAGTGTCAATAGTGATCAATGAAATGCATAAAAAGGCAGAATTCGTAGATATTGTTAGATCAGTATTCACATTGCAAAATTTTAAAACAACCGTAAAGGTATGAATATACTTTTATTATTTTCTTAACTAGGTACAAATATCAAGGGATATTTTTACATAGAGAACATTATTCAAAATTAATCTTGCATTAATTTACTTATTTACTCAAGCAAATACTGGAGAAAAGAAGTGCGGGAAGATAAATGTCATTTGAAATGTTTTTATGTCAAAATCAAACTTCAAAATATTGAAGTGGGGTTATCTGCTTCAGAAGGTATATGCCTCGCTGGTTAATTTTCATACAGAAACGTGATGGTGCAATTTCCAAGTTTTGCTTGGGGGTTGAAAAGAACTAGAAAGAACATGGCTCCTACCTTTAAAATAAAAATAAATTCAGGCCAATTGCAAGTTCATGAGTTTCTGTGACCCCACAAGAGAGCTGAGGAAGCAGAGCACCCAACTAACCCTAATTCTAGGGGGAGACAGGGACCTGTAGGGAGAGACTAGATGAAAAGGGATGCTTCTTACCTGGAGCCCCGCTGGTCAAGGGGTAAAAATAATTCAGCTAAAACTGGCGGTGAACTGGTGGAAGCTGAATGTGGCTGGCAAGAACTCGTGAGTGATGTGGGAAGGGGGTTCCATCACTCTTGCAAACCTTACTCTCTGCACTTTCCACCTGAAGGGGCACAGTCCTGGGAATAAAGATGCCCCAGAATGAGAAGAAACACTACTTGGAATCTTCACCTTCTTTATAAAGCAAAAGAATCTAAGTGGGAAGAAGGTGAAAAGAAAAACAAATAATAATATAACTCTAGCCCTTAAGGACTTCATGAAAACCCATTTCAGCTAAGAGATGGCAACAGAAATAAAGAAACCTAAAAATCCCTCTACGCTCTAGGGAAGTTTCTCAACTTTGACACTATTTGACACTCTGAGGCAGAGAAATCTTTGTTGGCGGAATGCTGTACTCTGGAATGCAAGATATTAAAAGCACTGCCCAGTTTTGGCAGACAAAAATGTCTTTTAAAAAAAATTTTTTTTAGGGGCGCCTGGGTGGCGCAGTCGGTTAAGCGTCCGACTTCAGCCGGGTCACGATCTCGCGGTCCGTGAGTTCGAGCCCCGCGTCAGGCTCTGGGCTGATGGCTCGGAGACTGGAGCCTGTTTCTGATTCTGTGTCTCCCTCTCTCTCTGCCCCTCCCCCGTTCATGCTCTGTCTCTCTCTGTTCCAAAAATAAATAAACGTTGAAAAAAAAAATTAAAAAAAAATATTTTTTTAATGTTTATTTTATCTTTGAGACAGAGAGACAGAGCATGAGCGGGGGAGGGGGAGGGGCAGGGAGAGAGAGAGACAGACAGACAGACAGAATCCCAAGCAGGCTCCAGGCTCTGAGCTGTCATCACAGAACCCGATGCAGGGCTCGAACTCATCAACCGCAAGATCACGACCTGAGCCGAAGTCAGAGGTTCAACCAATTGAGCCACCCAGGTGCCCTGACAAAAATGTCTTTTGACATCCCCTAGCTACTTTCCAGCATTATGCTAATAAGTCTGGAGTATAAGTAATAATCGAATACTGTTCAAAAGCTGCAAAAGATGTATAGTCTCTGAGGCACAGAACAAGCAAAGAACTAAAACTGAGGGAAAAGCATCATTTGAGAAAAATCCTCCAGTAAATCAGCCCCCACCCTAAACACCAGGTGCCAGCAGAGAATTATGAAGCTTGTGCACCAAGGATAAGTACAGCGAAAAGAAATGTGAATCACACTGCAACTAGACTAACAAGATCTCACGCTAAATGCCTACCAGAAAGAGCTCAGGCCCATTTCCAAACTAAGCATTTACCTCACTCCACTGTTCTACGTGACATGGAAAATGCAAGAAAACCAATTTTTGCTAAGAGAAAATTAATCAACAACCAGACTCAATTAACACACAGGTATTAGAATTATCTGAAAAAGGATTTAAATAATTATGCTTCGCATGGTAAAGGTTCTAACAGAAATGGTGAATACCATGCAAGATAGGATGGGTAATTTGCAGAGAGATGGAACTATAGGAATGAGTCAGGTGGGAATGCTAGCAATGGAACATAGTAGAGAGGTGAAAGATGCCCTCAGTGGGCTCATCTGTAGAATCAGCAGAGCCACAGAACCGATGACCTTGAACATAGGTCAAAAGAAATAGCCCAGACCAAAATACAAAGATTAAAAAAGACTGCCCAAAACAGAACGAAATAGCCAAGAGCTATAAGAAAATACCAAATGTCCTCACATACACATAATTAAATTCTGGAAGGAGACAGGAGATAGAACAGGGCAAAAGAAGTATTTGAAGAAATGACAGGTACAAAGTGGCCAGAAATAGCAACAGATATGGAATCATAGATGTAAGAAACTCAGAGAACAATGGAATAAATACATACACACATATGCATACTCAAAAACATGCCACATCAATATGCAAACTGCTGACAACAGACAAAGGGAAAATCCTTAATAGTTCAGGTAAAGTAAGAAAATCCTCCTCTTGACATTTGAATATTAACTGCTATTAAAGGTGTCTTAACAAACACCCTCAACATTTCCCAAATTAATATGAAACAAAAATCAATGTATCTGAAAATCTATTGTAATCCTATAAGCTGGACGTGAACAATCAGAAA